ACATTGTTTCAGCATTTACCGTGTGCCAGGCCTACGCTCCGTTTATATCACCTGTTTGAACTCACTGATCTCTCAGTACCACTTTATAATAATTATGATCCTTGACCTCCCCCCTCCTTTACCGATGGGGAAATTGGGCTCAAATGAAGTAACTGGCTAATATTATACGGCTAGTAGGCGCTACTCTTGGGGTTCAAAATCGGTGTGACTAGTCCCAACGCTTCGGCTCTTTACATGATTCTGCCTCTATATAAATATATATATATATATATAAATAAAACAAAATAAACACCTTCCTCCAAATCTCTTCATGCGATGTGACCAGCAGCATGGCCCCACCTGTTAAGGGTCAAACCTTTCACAATACTGCGGAGAATCGTTCATATGAAAACCAGTGACAAATTCTCGGCAGTTCAGAGGGAAGGGAAGAAGTCGCCCGGCGCGACCTTCTGGCGTACTTCCTTTTACTGGATAATGAGCGTGAAGCAACGTATTGAGTTTCTGGCCCGGACTCCGGCTGCCTGGAAGCTCGGGGCCAATTTGGTGATCTATTTCAGCTGCTGTTCATTTCAGCCCCACCTCCACCCCCGAACGGTGGCTGAACGGATTTCCCTTCCAACAGCCCTTCCTTACTTAGACCTTTTGTCTTTCACTCTGCTTTTTCTTTTTTTGAGATTGCCAGGCTTACTGGGACCTGTGTTCATCAGAAGAGACCTTAAGGTCTTTTTAGAAAGATGGCAGGAGCTCAAACCAGTCACCATTTTACTTTGGCCAGAAGCAATGTCTCATCATCTCAGCCTCGACCCTCAAGGGTACAGCCTCCTTCCCTCTCCCCAGCCACCACTGTCATCTCCTGGAAACGCTGTCAGCTTTCTTCTCCGGGTCCTGAGTCCGGGGCTCGATGTGCCTGCGCCACCGCTACAGGGTGTATGCACTGCTCTGGCTTCTTGATTTGCAGGGTCTTTGTACCCCATAGCAAAGGGATCAGATGCTTCACTATTTCTTCATCTCTTTAGCATTTGTTCCCTCACACATTCTTTCTCACGCAGATCTTCACCAGCTAAAATAATTAAGCTGAATTTTACTTTCTGTAGTTTTACACTTCAAAAAGTTGGTGGAACAGTTCAAAGTAGCAGGAGCGCGGAGACAACCCAAATGCCCATCCATAGAAGAACAGACAAGGAAGCTCTGGTATAGTCACACACAATGGAGTACTATGCATCCCTGAAAAACAGTGATGCAACCAGCAAACACTCCATGACACAGACGGCGCAGGAAAGCAGTCTGTTGCGTGAAGTTAATCGATCACAAAAGGACAAATATTTTCTTGAGTCCACCACTCTAAGGATAGACACCAAGACAAAGGCAGGCTTTTGTTCTCAGTCGTGTAATTTTCTAATCTTGTCTCCCACGCAACAAGGTAGAGAGCTTGCCTAGTGCCCATGAACCGCCTTGATTTGTACATATTAAAAATCACGTCAAGAGAGGGGGCCTGACCTCAGTTGGGGTCATTTTCTGAAGGCAGGGGAAAAGGGAGATGACCACTAATCAAACTGGACTTTACCCTAAACTCTCCTGTCGCAGATTTAAGGAACTGAAATACTCCCTTGGACTTAAGGCTGAAATGCCCAAGTGTGAGAAGAAGCAGATGGCTGCTATCCCAAGATGACCTTGGTTTGGATCTCTTGTTTCGAGGGTGCTGGATGAAAGGTGGCCCAGGACTACCATCTATTTACAATTTTCACATTCTCTTAGCTTTTTTATGACGGGTATTCATCTGGCAGGCATCTGCCTTTGGGCATGAATGTTATAGAAAGTTTTGCCCTCTCTTCAACCCTTGTTGTTCATGTAAACAGAGTCGTTACTTAATCTTTTCATTTGAACAAGTCAATAATGCATGTATTTAGGTCTAAAAAGCTAGCCTAGACACATATAATTTCCTTTTCTCAACAGTGTTTTAAATTCTATATTAATGAATTTAAATTTAAATTTAAATTCTATAAATTGGCTAAATTAATGATGCTATCAATAGAATTATACCCCATGGGAATGATTCATAATGCTATCCAATTAAATTATAGTGATGTCTCTAATGTGAACTAGGAACGTATATAAACCATAAATATACGAGTGGATTTTTGAGCTTGCACTTAATTGTAAACCCTAATCTAAAAACAATTAACATGGCCTTACTTGATACTAACATTCATGAAAAGAACACTGGAAATATGGGTGCTGTAGCCAAGAGTGATGAAGAAATTAGATGGTGCCTGGTTATATGGAAGAATCGCATCTGGGGTCTTAAAGGCTTGTTTTAAAACAAGCAGCCATTTAAGTCAGGTGTCCACTGAGTCTACATGCAAGAGAAACACACCAGCCTGTGTGATCCAAGGATACTAAATAATAAAACTCCAAACCTGGAGGAGGGTAAGGTTTTAGATCTTAAATTGTGAACATCCAGTTTGCAGAAGGCTATGGATGGAAGTGGAAGCCCAAAATACATTTTCAGGGTCCTCACACGGATTAAAGACCCAATGACTCCTTTCTGACCACAGCCCGGGAATGTGGCTAGCCTTAGGGTCAGACAAAGAGAAAAACAACTCATGCAGATGGAGCTAGGTTAAAATGTAACACCGTATCATGGATCTCCCTTTGATCCATTTTAAATTTGTTCTCGTTTTTAATGTTTCCTCCTTTCTTTCCATTGAAAGTTGAAATCAATTTCTGCTTTCCCTTCTTTCCTCTGTTTTATGTTGTCATTGCTATTGTTTTGTTGCTGTTTTATTTCGTTTCTTGTTTTTGTTCTGTATGTTTTTCTATACATAAAAGCCAGGATAGGTAAATCTCTAGAGACAGCGACTGGATGAATAATTTCCTAGGAGCAGGGCAGGGGAAGGCAGGCAAAGGGGACATGGAGCTGACAACGACGACCTCAGGACAAGAGAACATGTTCTAATCTGGACTGTGGTGGTGAGTGTGCACCTCTTCTTGATAGGATTGAATTAATGAGTCGTAGGATAGGTGACTAACATGCAATATGCTTGATTTTTAAAAACTCGTGGGAAAATTCTTTTGTCTTTTAATTCCATTTTCCCCTAACCAACTTTCTGCAGCTCCCTTGCATTTCCCAAATAATAGTTATGACAAGTATTTTGATACACATTCTCCATTTATAACCCTCCTCTGCCCACCCAAATTCAAATACTTTTCCCAGCTTCTGACTCACACACATGCACAAAGAGAAAAAAATGATGCCGGGTCCCGGGCCATCACCATGACTGGTGCAGATTGGACCACTGTGACCCAGGGCTTCCACTGGCTGTTTTTAGAAATAGATCATCAGTCTGTCCTTCCAATGGTCCCATAGCATTGGATACTTTGATCGCCTTTTCCAACACACCCCATTTTTCCTTTGGGGGGGATTAACTTTTGATATAGTCAATGAAGATGCTTCCACCCCTATTAAGCCAAGCAACGAGCACGCAACCACCAGGCCAGTCAGTGCCCTCTCCCTGGAAGGTGTCTCTTGAGTGCTAAATGCCAGCAACTAGACCTGGCGCTTTCAAGCAGTGAGGCCCTGAGGATGCTGCCCATGACTTCAGATCCCAGAGCTGACCTTTCCCTTTATATCGTGGTTCCTGCTTTCAGTTTCTGATTTCATTCTCTAAACGGAATAGCCTCCTCATACATTCCTTTTTGCTCAAGATAGCCAAAATGAATTGTGTTGCTTACAACCAAAAAACCCCAATGAACATATAATTCCCCCTGACTGGCAATTGACCTGGATTATATTTGAGGTTCTCTGGAATCATATGATGACTTTGAATCATAGCAATTGGTGATTCCTGTAGCATGACCTAACATACACAACAGGGCGGTCAAGGCAGGGTTTAGGGGACACACGAGAAGAACAAGAAATACTCAAAAGCTACAGAAGATGGGATAGACGATTTTGTAGTAGGCTAATTACCCTTTCATGGCCAACTATTTTCTGCTTTGAATTTTTTTTGGATCCCATGCATTTTCTGTAATAAAAGGCATACTGAAAATAAGGAAAATCAATTTTTTAAAGGTAATATGGATTTTGATACAATTATGTGGGACACATACGTCCCATGAACACTCTGAAGGTAGGGCTGGTAGTACAAAGCTCCTTTCTTCAGATTCATGCAGTAACACAGGTCCCTTCCAGGTACTGGGATAGCAACTTCCCAAGAAGCATGAGAATCTGAAAATGGTGGTGGGCAATATATGTTCCATGGGCCACGTAAGGGTTAAATTACTGTCTTTTCAACATTCCTTCCCTTCCTTCAGCGTTAGTGCAAGTACTGTATTCTGTACTCCATTAATGTTGAGTCTTGGCCACAAGATTTTCTTTGGACAATGAAATGTGGGTTCCTTAAGAGTATGCCAATCCAGACTGTAGGCCTTTACAGAAAGTCCCCCTGTTTCTGCTCCTCTCCCTAGGGCTTTTAGCACGTTCCCACAAGAAGAACATGTCCTGGGGAGAATGTGTTCCATGAAGCAGAACTGAATCCAGCTCAGACGGAAGCCAAGCTCAGTGTAGATGAACCCTTGACAACCCGCAGAGACCAGCGTGAGGACACACACTTGTCATTGCAAGTGACTGGTATGTCTTAAGATGGGTTTTCGTTTTGCTTTGTTTTGTTATGCAGCATTGTTGTGGGAATAGCTGACTGACCCAGATGTCTGGTGCTATCAGTCAACTTGAAAAAAATCGGTTGCCCCTGAGTTGATTCTGAGTCAGGGTGACCTTGTGTGCCCCAGAGTAGAACTCTGGCTCCATTGGGTTTTCATGGCTAGTTCTCTGAAAGTAGATTCACCACCTCTTTCTTCCGAGGGGCTTCTGAGCAGACGCCATTGCTAGCTTTGTGGCCAGCAGCTGAGCGTGAGGACCTGTTGCACCACCCCGGGACCATACAGTCCAAGTCTACGATGTTCAGATTTGTCCAGGAAGAGGTGGGGTTCATGAAGCCTACCTGCCACTTTGACTTGGTTGGGCGCACAGGCTCTGCAGGGAAGCACCCGGAACTCCTCCGCCTGATACATGGAATAGTCCGTGCTGGCAACGACCAGGGTATCTCCGGGTTTCCAGGACTGCACATTGTCCTCCAGTCTCAGGATGGTGCTGTTCACATTCGTGTCGATGGTGACTGTGAGCTTGGGCCTCACTGGAACCCACAACAGGACAGACTGAGACACAGCCCTTTGCCCCGGGCCAACTTTTGGCTGCCCAACTCGTCCCTCGCCTTCCCTCAATAAGTAAACGTCAGGCTTGCCTATCCAAAACCCCAATCACCGGGCTCACCCCATCCCGGTCTTGTCTGGGTACAGGTTTTTGAAGTCAACAAAAACCCTACCAGAAAAGAGCCATTCATTAGCTCTGGGCACGGGAATTTTCCACTAACTCCTTAGCCAGAGTTAAATGTGGTCTCCTCACCACACCCATTTTGCTCAAGATATAAAACAAATATAGTTCCTCTCAACTATTATTTACAGTAGCCATAAACCTCTCCCACCAAAGAACTCCCCTTGCTAATGACTGCCTTCCCCAGACGGCCCAGGGCCTCAGCCAACAGACTAGCCATTTCCAATCCCTTGTAACAATCACCTCGGGAGCTAGGTTTAAAATAATAGCACCCAAAGAGGCCAAGAGTGGTACGTCTCTGCGGGGAAGGGCAAGGACAAGCCTTGCTCACTGGAGTGCTGGGTGTCTTGGACCAAACCCTTCCCTTCCTGAAAGGCTTGGGGGCAGGGTGGGACTTCCCTGTCCGGCCAGCGCCCAGCACCTTCCCACTTCCCCTGTGTCATGAAAGTGACCCCTGTCCCTGGGAACTTGGCAGGAGCACTGGTCAATGGAGGTGGCTGACCAGCCACCCCCACTTTCTGTGCATGGTTGCCAGCTCAATGCGTGACCCCGGAGCTGTGTTTCAGGCCCCCCAATATAACTGCTTACCAGGCTTGCCGCAAAGGAATCTCACACGGTAGCTGTGGCAGGCTCGCCCTCGGTCGTAGCACGCAAACCTGTAATCCTGGCCTCTTTTGTAGACAACCTCAGTGGTGAGGCTAACTCCATCCGCTGTCGTGGCCTGAGGATGACACCAAAATTATAGAGCACTGTCACTACTTGCTAGGAAGGAGGAAGGCAATGATGAATGCTGTCAACATCGACCCACAAGTCTAAAATTGTCCCTGCTGCTTCAGGCATGATTCACAACAGCCCCAGCTCACGGTCCTCGCTCCGGCCCCTATCGGTTTTGTTATAAGGGAGACACAGACCGGTTAAGTGTCTTGCCGGCGGTTCTCAAGTACTTGATTCTCCAAACCAACGAGGGCCTGGTCCTGCCTTGGTGAGATTTAGTGATGGTGCATCGACAACTTGGTGGCTAGCAGGGGACTTTTTCCCATGTAGACCAGCACCAGCATCAAGAACAGTGGCTGGCATTTCTGTAGCACTCACTCGGCTTGATTCAAGAGTTTCTGCTGACAGAGAAGCTGCAGCGTCCCATGACCCAGGGGTGTCTCAGAAGAAAGGCCCTGTGCCCTGCTTCTGAAAAACCACTCCCTGAGGACCCTGTGGGGGCACAGCTCGCCTCCGACACCCCCGGGGTTCTCCAGAGCCAAGTCCCTCGCAGCAACTGGATAGTTGGTTGCTGAAGTCCAAGCCCCTGGCTCCCCAACGTGGCCGTCACTGGAGTCACCGGGGGGGATTTGTGAAACAATGCTCAGGCTCAGGCCCTATCCGCAGGTCTCCGATTTCATTGTATCCTAAGAGTTTGGACAGTGACACGTAGCATCTCTTATACTGGCTGAGCACAGTCCTTTAAAGGTACAGTGAGACTTGTTCAAGCCAGAACTGTGTAAGGTGGACCGGGAAAATGAAGTCTTTCCCACTAGTAGTAAAAAACCCAAACAACACAAACTGACTGCCATTGGGTCAACTCAGACTCATAGCAACACTAGGACCGGCACAACTGTCCCCATGGGTTTCTGAGACTAACGCTTCATGACAGCCGCAAGCCTCATCTTTCTCTCACGCAGGTCTGAACCACTGACCTTGTAGCCGGCAGCTCAATGCAGAGCCCACCATGCCCCCAGGGCTCCTTTCCATTAATAGAGAACAACAGAGAAGAGGGGAGACTGCGCCCTGACAAAGGTGCGGAACCCCAGAGACCCAGAAAGCAATGCTGCGCTGTCCCGGAGGCTTCCCTGGGCTCTTTCATTCCACCTTCACGGGCAGCAAGTCACGGGCCAGCTGGCGGGGAAACGGACACTCAGAGGAGTAATCTGCCCAACGCCTCAAAGCTAGTAGGTGGCACGGTCCAGATTTGAACCCTGAAGTGTGTGTGTGTGTGTGTGTGTGTGTGAGAGAGAGAGAGAGAGAGAGAGAGAGAGAGAGAGAGCACAGTCATCTCAGGTTCCCAGCCTCCACCCTGACCTGGCACGGAGTAGGGTCTCAGTTGATGGGGCTGTCTCAAGAGCAGACAGACCAGGTAGAGGGCTCAGGGCACCTGCTCAGAGGAGGGGACCGGCCGTTTCCACCGCTGGCCCTCCTGGAGCAGGGTGTGTTCCCCTCAAGACCAGGACTGTCATTCAGACACATGCAATGTAAGCGCCAGGGCAACAGCGGTTGTCTCTTTGGCACAGGGACCGAAGGGACCAGGGTTTGGGAAAATGGAGAGGGATAGTTCAGTCAACCTAAAAATAGCAGGGGAAAATGAAGGAAGGGAGGAGAGTGTGGGGGCCATGTTTGGAACCCAGCAGATAGGCATTGTCAGTGCCTATGTACGAGTTCAGCCATGATTCAAGATGCAGCCCTTTCCTGCAGGTAACACACACACCCACGCTGGCTCGGGGGTCTCCAGAGCAGGCGGAGAGGCAGAGAGCGCAGGCTTGCTCTTAGAGGAAAGTGCCAAGTGTCAGTGAGGTTCAGATGCAGCTCAAGGTCTCTTGAATATCAAGCCAGCTCCTCTGACCTCCCGATGCTCCCCTTGGAAGCCAGCATGCTCCTCAGGAGGCAGCCCTAAAGACAGCACCCAGTGGAGGGGGGCCCGGTTTTAAGGCAGAATATCCAACACTATTTTCAAGGGAACATCTGCTCAGTTCTGCTTCACCCGCCCTTCTCTGTCCAGAAGACTCCATTTGGGCGAAGAAGAGCAAGAAAGGGCTCTGTCAGCAGGCAGGGCAATGGACTGTCGCTTGAAGCAGATACAATTTTATTGTTACTAACGACAATCACAGTTAAGATGTGTTGTGGTTGGTTTCTGACAAGCGGACAGAAGAACTCCCCCATAGGGTTTTCTAGGCTGTAATCTTGAGGGGAGCAGATCACCACAGAGCCATTGGGTAGATTCAAACCACTGAACTCATGGTTAGCAGCCGACGACTTAATCTCGCACCACATCAAACAATAAAATACAGAGTAATAGATGATTACAAACTCAAATCCATTGTCAAGTCTATTGTGGCGCATCTCTTAAATCACACTCACTACCATCGAGTTGGTTCCCACTTACAGCGACCCTATCGGATAGGGTTGAACTCCCCCGGTGTGTTTCCGAGACTGCAACTCTTTATGGAAGAGGAAAGCTGTCTCTTTCTCCCTCAGAGCAGCCAGTGGATTCAAACTGCTGACCTCTACTCACTGCACAGGCAGGGGCCCGATTCTGGCACATCCAAACTCCCTGCCATCGGGTCCACTCTGACTCCTGGAGACCCGAGAGAGAGGATAGAACTGCTCTGTGGGTTTCTGAGACTAACTCTTTACAGGAGTCGACAGTCGCATCCATCTCCTGAGGAGCAGCTGGTGGCTTTGAACTGCAGACCTTGCAGTTAACAGCCCAACTCATAACCCACTACACAACCAACCCGCTAAGGCAGTGGTTCTCAACCTGTGGGTCACGACCCAGTTGTGAAGTAGCAACGAAAATAATTTTATGGTTTTGGGGGGAGGGGGGCAGGCTCACCACAACATGAGGAACTGTATTAAAGGGTCACGGCATTAGGAACGTTGAGACCCACTGCTCTAAGGACATGGGCATTGTAAGGACACTGTAAGGACACTGTAAGGACATTATACTCTAGGGTTTTTAAGGCCATTGTCTTCCCATATGCAGATAGCCACGGCTTCCTCCCAGGGAGCAACTGGTGCCTTTGAACCACTGACTTTTTCGTTAGTAGCTAAAGACTCAACCACTGTGTTCATTGAACAAAAGAGGCTTTCATCAATAGCACTGTATTTAAAAATAGAATAAATGTAATTGTAAAAATAATGGGTCTAACAATTGATGTGTGTATGGATTGGGATAACAGTTGTATGAGCCCCTAATAAAATGTTAAAAAAAAATAATAATAATAATGGGTCTGACACTTCATGCGTTATTGCAATGGCCCACAGTGAGGGAAGAATGATGATCCTGCTTTTGCACACAAAGAAACTGAGACCCTGGAAGTTAAGTCACTGACTGATATCCAGGGCTGGGACCAGGGCCCTGCAAGCGAAGAGCCCAGAGTGCAACATTTAAGGAGGCACTCACTCTCAGTGCAGTGTAAGTGTAGACGTGGCGCCTGAGAGTCAGTGTTTCCTTAAAAGTCGTGCCCTGGGCGCTTCCTCATTTGTCTGGCTCTTGGTCCTGAGCCACTGAGCTAGGATGCAAACACAGAGATTCCTCTGGCTTCAAAATGCATTTTCTTAAGCAGCTTACCCTCCAGCCCCTGTACCAGCTGCTGTCAGGGGTACAAAGACGACCAGGTGTGCAGAGACACATCTAAGGGTTGGCAGGGCCTGGGCACCCCTTGGGAGCAGAGGTGTCAATGGACAGCTGTCTTCTCCATCGCTGGCTAGGAGAGATTGTTGAGCCATTTAAAACTCCTTGCCTTGGGCGCTATTTTCCATAGATACACCTTGTCTGGTGTGGTCTCACCCCCAAGGGGATCTAGTGCCCCTCCGAGTGGTGAAGGCTCAGCTGAAGGAGTGAGTTACAGAGAAGGAAGTCTGAAGCCAGTCTGCTTCAGGGGGAGTCCCTGGGTACCTGGGTTACCTGGGTACAGTTGCCTCTGGCCTGTGGCATAGGGCATTCTTCAACAGCAAGCCCCCCACAGAGACCTTAGGGCTATGGGGTTGATACCTGTATATCAATGGGCCGGTTGCAGATTTTCCCTGGGTGAGCTGCCCGGAGATCTGAGATTTTCTCCCCACCTTTGGTATAGGACACTCTGTCATGGTGGAACCACTCCGTCCACTCCACATCTAGGCAGAAAGCAAAGAGCATGGTCACTCGGGAAGGGTCCATGGGAGCAAGCCATCTTCCTGAAGCACCCTTAGCACAATGCATGGTGATGTCATCTGTGTCCTGTTGCACCTGGCTGTGGGGACAGGTGGCTTGTAAACACAATCAGCCAATGCCCCAACCTTTTCATGAAAACCAGTTGTCCTGGCGTCGACCCCAATACATGGCGATCCTGTATGTGTCACCGTAGGGCTGAACTCCATCGGGTTGTTAATGGCTGTCTCTCCTCCCCAGGTGTTCTTACATGGTGCCTCTGGCTGGGCTCGAACTTCCCACCTTTTGGTTAATGGCTGAGTGTGCTAACCATTTGCACAGCCTGGGGACTCCCTTGAATTCTCGGTATGTTTACTCTAACTATAAAGGCAAATATGCAAACAAACAAAAAAAGCGGATAGAAGGATTCCATCTGTGAAACCATCATCCAAGACCTGCCTCTGGGGATGCTGTTTCTGCACCAATTATGTGTGAGCTGCATGAAGGCATGGACCACATCCTCATCATAACTACAAGGAGGCTTCAAACAGCTGTGGGGAAATGAACGGAATTAAAAGATGTCTCCCGTTCTCTGCCATTACCCAGCTCTTAAAAGACATTCTATGCTACAACATCCACATTCCCACCCAGCTGTTTCATGGAAACTCAAATCTCAATAAGGGAGAAGCATCCTTTTAGATAGCTGCTCCCCAAGGTGGCTCGACAAATGGAAAACAGCTTTCATTGCTAATTCAATTGCCTGTGTGACCCTGAAGGGGTCATATTGGTGCATGTAGGGAATGGAGGACACTCAGTGGTAGAATGCCCGCTTTCCAGAAGGGAGCCCCCAGTTTCACTCCCACCCGGAGCAGCTCCCTGCTTCCTGTCAGTAGCTTGCGTGTTGCTAGGATGCCGGACGAGGCTCAGGGGAGCTCTGCGATTGCAATGGACTGGAGAGAAAAGCCTGGTCTCGATCTCTAAATCTCAGCCAAAGGAAGTTTTATGGGTCCCGGTGGTCCAGTCTCCACCCTCGGGGGCATCGTGGCCACCCACTCTCACTCTACAATGCATTACCACCTTATTGGAGAACATTATCGAAGGTGCACGCTTGGGAAGCACTGCGCTGTTCATCATGTTGTTTGGAGTTGCCACGAGTCAGGTGCGGGGCGCAACTCAGTGGCAGTGAGCAACTTGTGCAAGAGCTTAAGCCTTGAAGTGCAGTGGCGGCAACCCCTGGCCCGTCCCCCACAGCCAGGTCTGACCCAGATCCCTTGCTCCTTACCTTGAACCCACTCGCTGGACGAGGAAACATTGAAGAGCTCCCCGTGCTCCGTCAGGAACAGCTTGGACACCCGGGCGGCCGCGGAGCCATGGTGTCCTGTTGGGGAAAGCAGAAGCTCAGGGCCTGGGGGGGATCCCTCAACTCAACGGGGTGCAATTCTAGGGGCAAGGAAGACTCCCCTACACTCAGATCTGGAGAATGCACCAGAAAGTGGATTCAGCCAGGGAACTGCAGGTGCAGTTAGGTAAAAAATGTCGCGCCCTATCATTTGCTCTCCCTTAGGAACCATTTGAGTTTGTTCCAGTTTTTAATATTTTCTGCTTTCTTTTGGATAGAGGTTTTTCTCTGTCTGACTTTGTTTATCTTGTTAGGCATTTGTTTGTTTCTTTTTAAATGCTTTTCGGTAGATGCGATCCAGGACATGTAAATCTGTAGAGACCGTCACTGGACGAATGGCTCCTTGAAGGTGTGGCAGGGGAGCTTGGTGGGAGATGGGGAGCTAATCACGATGCCTACAAGAATGAAGACATGGTTCTAAAATGGATTGTGGCGATGGCTGCACCACTCTCGTTGGCGTGACCGCACTACTGCATCGTCTGGGAATCCCACGCCAATGAAACTGCCGGGAGGTAAAGTTCCAGGCAATCTGTTCCACTTGAGAAGCTAAGGGCCACCCTTTCTTTGGTTTCGGTTTGGAAGGGTTAGCTGCACTGACTGCGCAGTCAATTCCGGGGTTTGGAGCCCCATCCTTTCTCATTCATTCTTCCCAGCGGCTCCTCCCACGGCCCTCACTGGGCAGAGGAGATGGGGCACCGCTGTGTGGTCCTGACAAAGGCCCGCCCAGAGTGTCTTTTCAGCTCCCAATACTGGCAGGACCGGCACTGGCTCTGGCCCAGGTTGCCTCTTCTTTCCTACGTCAATAATTCATTTCAAAGAAGGCGATGAAGACTCCTTTGAAAATGAAAGTGGTATCTCAAGGGATTGCCACGATTCGGTATTGACCTTTGCCACCTCTACGGCATGTGTTCAGCTGGGTGTTGGGAAATGGGGCAGCCGTGTTTGGAGGGCAGTGGGGCATTCAGAAAGGGCCCGCTTCTCATGTTCACAGCGGGGCTGGAGCGAGTAAGGGCTCCCACCAGCCATTTGTTACCGTGATATTCAATATGGTCTTCAACGGAAGAGGAGGGACTTCCTTTCACAGTGAGGAAACTCCACGGGTGTCTGAAACAACACAAAAACAACACCAACACAGCAAGTCCCTCATGCGTCCGAATCTGAACAGCTGGCAGAGCTGACCCAGAGCGCCCAAGGGTCTTCGGCTCCTGTTGTCTGGTGAGAAGCCGGTCATGCCCACTTCTCTTCCAGAGAAACAAGAGCCGCTCTCTCTGTAAGCCCTGGCCCGAGCGGTCTGGCTGCCTGGCTTGCTGGGTGTATGCCTATTTGAGCCTCATTGACTGCATGATGGCAGTAGACAGGGCATGAGTCACAAACAAACAAACAAGCCGGCAGACTTATCCTGCCACCTGCCAGGCTCAATTATCACCCGAAGCAAGTGTTCCGGCTCCCTTTGGAAAACGCGCTCCACGACAGGAAGGTTATTTCTCTCATGCCCAGCATCCCTGGAGGCGAGTTCGAGGGAAATGCCAGAGGCTCGTGTGACAACCCTGGGCACTCGCGTGGAGCCCTGGAAAGGGACCTCTCTGCCTCTTCAAGGGGAAGGGAGGCTTCTGATTTTTTAAACATGGATGCCCATGTCTTTCCTCCATTAAAATAAGCATATGTGTGTGTGTGTGTGCGTGTGCGTGTTACTGCACCCATTTTTGTCATTCTCATGGCCCCTAATACAGCCTCTGTTCGACTATGGGGGTTTCCGTAGTGTTTTGCCCACTCCTCCATTATATACCATCATTTTTGCTTTGCTCTCTCTTACTGAAAATAATTGTTAGTGGATAGCTTTAACTGAGATTTGGTATTTGACTGTGTTGTGCTCTTGCTTAACATCCTTCAATGGCTCCCCATTGCCCCTTGGATGAAGACTGAGCTCCTTGGCACAGAGAACAAGGCCCTCCTGTGCCCATCTCCCCAACCACATCTCTCACCTCGTTTGCTAGCATACCCCACTGCTGCCTGCATGTCACCCGCTCCTTCAGAACAGCCACCGTACTTCCCGGGGCTTTGAAGCTGCTGGTTGATCTGCGAGGGATCCTACTCACCCACATCATCACCTGCATGCCTGCACTGATGCTCCAATTGAGTTTCTAGCCTTGGGTCCCTTCCCTTGGGAGCTCACTCTACCCAGTCTAGCTTACTGGATGCCCCAGTGTCAAACTTGGCTCAATATCTGCCCCATAACTATTGATGGAGAACCGAGGGCACAGATTCTAAGTCTCAGCTCTTCTGCTGAGTTTAGATGCTTTGAGCTTATCACTCAAAGTGTGTCGCTATGCAAACAAGAAAGGAAACTCTGGTTGCATTCCGCTGCTAACCAAAATGTGCGTGGTTTCGACCCACCAGTCGCCCTGCAGGAGAAAAGCCTTCAAGGTCTGCTCCCGTAAAGATTCCAGCCCAGGAAAGCCTTTGGGAAAGTTCTCTTCTATCCTATAAAGTTGCTATGAGTCAGAAGTGACGCCATGGTGCACAGTCCCAAGCTATAAAGAAGAGACAAGAATGTCATTGCTGCTCGCCTATCTATGCTCCACGTGTGGAGGCCTGTGACGTGGCAGGCACCAGACCTTCTCGTGATCCCTGGTTCATAAGGAAACTGTCCTTGCTTACACCTAGGAAGTGCATGTTGAGTGCCAGGCACTGTAGCAAGTATTGTGAGTAATTTACCACCTGTATTCCTCTCAACAATCCTTTGAGACAGTCCCTGACATAGATAACCTTGTTGCTCCGATGCAGGAACTACTCAGAGGACAAGCCACTTGCCTGAGGTCATACCTGGTAGGAAGATGCAGCCCAGACTCAAAATCAGGCAGCTGGCCACAGATCAGGGGCCCTTAACTACCACCTTCGTCTGTCAAGGCTTCAAGGAGCCAGTGCCCCTACATTCTCCCTAGCTCAGTCACTGGGTTTTCTAAAGCAAGAAGTGCAGGTTTCCTTAGTTCTCGCTCACAAAGAAGCCTTACAATGTCCACAGCGCCTTGTTCCTTTGGCTGCTTGGGCTTCCTGCAGCCCTGGACTGTTGGCAAAGGTGCCCTGGATCCTGGGGAGTCCATCCCTTTCCTAGGACGTTCTGGGTGGCTAGGAGCATGGCTTTGATCAGAGCCCAGAAAAGGTCCTGCCCTGCCCACATCTTGCCCATGATCTTGGGAACCTCAGGGAGGGGTGGCCCAAACTCCAAACAACCACAAGACCGATCATCTCTACTTTCCACTGAGCTGAGACCTGATTGAACAAGATAAGAAGGTGCAGTTACTGGGAGCCAAGAAGAGTGCTCTTGGTGCAATGTGTGTGCAAGCCAACTAGAGGCACGATGCTACCCTCTCAGCAAGTGAAGCCCACATTGGAGCACGGAGGAGAGTCTTCTCATCGGGTCTCTGACTGGCCAGAGGTGCTTAGCATCACTTCCAAATAAATGTCAGCGATTCCCCAAGCCACAGCATGACCAGCGATGCTACCTGTCTTCACCAAAGGGTAACTGGCTGCATTAGCTACACACCTGAGACTGGCTCTTGTATACAGTAGATGCTCTATTAGCATTTTTAAGTGGGGAATAAATAATAATGAGTTGAAGTCCAAATCAAACTCACTGCCATGGAATTGATTCTAACGCTTCGTGATGCTATAGGACAGAACAGACCCGCCCCTGTGGGTTTCCCAGACGGTAACTTTTTACAGGATCAGAAAGCCTCCTACCCCCTCTCCCTTGCTCGGAGAGGATGTGGTTTCGAATTGATGACCTTTTGGATCAGAGTCCAGTGCATAAACCCTATGTCACCAGGGCTACTTGTGATGGGATGAATGGGTTGGTGTCAATAGAGACAGTTTGCTTTGGAATAAATTTGTCAAGAAAAACAGGTCTTCAAACGGTCACATACGGTACTACCATCAGCTCCAGTAATTCCCGTCCTAGATCTGAGTGGGTTTCAAAAAGTCCATGGAATTAAAAAGCCATGGCATCTTCCCACAAACGTTTGGAAGCGCTCAACTCTCTCTTGCCAGACAACGAAATGACCTGAATGCAGAAGCTTAATCAGATGCTTGTCCACCCATTTTAGTTGTAATGTATCCACAACAGCCAAATGGTGGCAGTAACAGAAGTGCCCGCCCACAGATGAATGGATAAACAAAGTGGTACACACGGGCAGGGCAACATCACACAGCCATGGAGAAGTCCATGCTGACACATGCTGGGACTGTAGGAACAGGGGAAGCCTTACGCTGAATGAAGTCAGTCGGATACAAAAGGGTCAATATTGTATAACCCTGCATTCTAGAGAGTTATTTGAACTATCTCAACAAAGGCAGCACAGAGAGGCCACAGTCTACTAGTGATGACAGGGGTGGGTGCAGATAGGGGGTCTTTGCTAGGAGAGTTCTGGTAGGGTAGAGAAAAAAGTTGGGGCAATACAAGAGTAAGTCAAAAGTGTTGCCATGAAGGTTCCAGTTCATACGTTTATTCCGTACAGGACATGTCTAGATTTGTCCCTGTGATCACTGAACAAGTACACTCAGTCAACCACACAAGGAGTGCCCCAGCCTCATGAGCTTGACCTTCAAAAGAGGTCCAAGGACAATGTCACATCTGCTGGACCAGGTAAATTCAAAGCAGAGGTTAGCTCAGAAGATTTTGGATTCATCTTGATAAATGTTTTGGAAGGACATGGGATGATCCCGAGGGTTTTTTGACGAAAACGTTTTAACATCGTGGAAATCCGCATCGGCGAGAAAAAGGTCAGAAAAGTTGCACTGGGAACGTTTTCTGTCCCCACAGTGATACCTGTAAGGGCTGTCCTACAGGGATTTCCTCAGAAAGCCGCACCCTGCCCATGCTGCAACCGCGGTCTTACCCCTTCAGGCTTCTTTCTGTTCCCCAAACTCAAAGACCGTTGAAAGGAACACAAGCTAAGTCTCCAGAAGCTGCCCCAACTGCCGCTTTGACATGGCATAAATCAAAGACCGCGGGGCCACCAGGTCCCTGCCACTACACGAGAGGGTTACCAGTGGGCTGCTAAGCACCAGGTCAGCAGTTCGAAATCTCCAGCTGCTTCGAGGGACAGAGACAGCGCTTTCTATTCCCAGAAAGAGGTGTCGCCCTGGAAACCCACAGGGCAGTTGTACCCTGTCCTGTAGGGTCGGTATGTGTTGGCCTCAACCTGATGGCAGTGAGTTATAAAATCAGAGCGTGATAAACCAAGGGAATTCCTCGAGGCAGGGGCAGAGGGATGGACACACTGCTTTCAGGAGTGCAGACGGCAGCCATGTCGATAAACAGTGGCTTCGCGTTTTCATTGTTTTTGGTTTAATAAAGGTTCCTGTTTGTAGCAATCCTTTGGGGTAGGCAGTGGTCAAGGCTGCACAGCACGGTGGATGTAATTAAGGTCTCTGACTCGCACATTTAAAAATGGGTGGTAAAATGTCAAACTTGACCACAATAAAAATGAAACTGTTTAGAACACGTGTTTGTTTTTTTTAAGTGACCCATCAACTCAACTTACTGCCATCCAGTTGCTATTGGCTCCCTGCGACCCCGTAGGACAGGGTAGACCTGCCCCTGTGAGTTTCCAGAGCTGTCACTCTTTTTTTTTTTTACTTTTTCCCACAGACTGTCATGGTGAGGACTGGCTTTCAATAGACCGTGGCAAGAGAGCTCCTCTGCTATGTGCGAAACCCCAACCCAGAAGCAGGTCATCTACCGACCCCAGTCCAGGAGGACTGTAACTCTTAGCAGGAGTAGACAGCCTGGTCTCTCTCCCTTGGGGCAGGTGGTGATTTTGAATGGATGCCCTTGTCCTTACCAGTTTAGCACATGACTCCTACCTCGCTGGGGTTCCCAAGTCATCCAATAGGGGAGGGGGGGATCTTTTTTAAATGCTAAAAAGAAGGAGAAGTCTCCTTTTAGGAATAAGGTCCTTGGCTCCTTCCAGCATCTGAGGGCCTACCATTCCTTGGCGATCTCCGTCTTGGCACCGATCTTCCCCAGGCCCTAGGAGTCTCGGGGCAGAAACCCTGGGTCCAAAGGTCTCGCTTTGCTCCTGGCTTTTCTGTATTGTCAATTAGGTAGTCCCTCCCTGCTCAGCTGGCTTCTCTTTCTTTGAATCTCTTGTCAGCGGAAAGGTGAGAATCAAGTCAGGAGGCGGGAGTTGGAGCCCGAGTGGGACTTGCGTTCACAGAAGCCAGGATTGACAGCGCATCACAAAATGAAGGGCAATGCGGCTATCAAAAGTATAGCGTCTGGGGTCTTAAAGGCTTGAAGGTAATCAAGTGGTCATCAAGCTCAGAAGCAACAAAGTCCACATGGAAGAAGCACACCAGCCTATGCAACCACGAGGTGTCGAAGGGATCAGGTGTAAGGCATCATCAGAACAAAAAATCTTACCATAGTGAATGATGGGGGGAGTGCGGAGTGGAGATCCAAAGCCCATTAGTAGGCCACTGGAGATCCCCTTGCAGAGGGGTCTCGGGGAGGAGACGAGCCAGTCAGGGTGCGATGTAACAATGATGAGAAATACAACTTTCCTCTAGTTCCTAAATGTTTCCTCCCCGCTCCCACTACCATGACTCGAATTCGACCTTGCAAGTCTGGCTAGACTGGATGATGTACACTGGTACAGATAGGAACTGAAAATCCAGGGAATCCAGGGCAGATGAGCCCTACAGGACCAGTGGTGTGAGTGGCGATACTGGGAGGGTAGAGGGAGAGTGGGTAGGAAAGAGGGAACCGATTACAAGGAACTGTGTGTGACCTCCTCCCTGGGGGACAGACAACGGAAAAGTGGGTGAAGGGAGACGTCGGGCAGGGCAAGATATGACAAAATACCAATTTATAAACTATCAAGGGCTCATGAGGGAGGGGGGAGCGGGGAGGGAGGGGAAAAATGAGGACCTAATGTTGGGGGTTTGACTGGAGAGAAAATGTTTTGAGAATGATGTACAAATGTGCTTTACACAATTGATGTGTGTATGGATTGCGATAACAGTTGTATGAGCCCCTAATAAAATGTTTAAAAAAAAAAGAAGGGCAGTGACATTAGAGGGCACAACGGAGGGCAGCTGCACATTACTGGGAATCATGGCCTAGCCCGGGAGACACATCCTCCTGGGAGACACAATACAAGCCCCTCCATGACAAAGCCCCAAACATGTCTGATGCAGAGGGTATGTCTGCTTCCTCCGTGGCCATCACGTGGAGCCGTGTTGCCAAGAGGAAGAGAAAAACTGTTGCTGTGGAGTGGACTCCAGCTCGTGGAAAGTCCCTGTGTGCCCCAGGGAAACCGAGCCTCATAGGGTTTCCAATGGCTAATTTTCCAGAAGCAGATCACTAGCCCTCCTTCTGAGGCACCGCTTGCTGGAGCTAAATTTCCATCTGGCCGCAGCAGCCGGGCACCTTCACTGTTGCACCACGCAGAGACTCAAAGGAAGAGAGACAGGGAAGGCTGGTTCCAGGCGGCACAGGCTGCTTCTGTGCTCTGGAGCTTGGGGAGGAGGGAGGGCGGGAGGTACCTGAATCCCAGGTGGAGGAAGTGTTTGCTGCCCAGTCTGGTCATCGCCTTCCTGGCCGTGTCTTCCAGGTTTCTAGACCCTTCATCGTTCACCGCGACAGAAAGGATCCTGCCTTCAGGCACCGAGTTCAGATACTGCACCAGACGTTCGCTCTCTTTCTTGGACCTATACGTGTCAAACCTAGAAAGGGCAGGGAGAGGGAATTCTAACAGTCCCAGTAGTCGCTGCAAAAGACAGCCGCATGCCTGTCGTGCCGGCAACAACTTCCCTCCCTCCAAAGATCCCAATGGTTGTGGCTCTTCAAGGAGAAAGGCTTTTATTGTAACAAGAAACGATCACCCCAAACTTCGCACATGAAGTTCACCCCCTCTCATTGACACAAAATGTCAATAAAATACCAAGTTTTTAAAAGATACCATACCACTAGTAAGCAGAATTTCCAAGGACACTCCATTTATAAAGATCCCAATTCTCCCCTAAGGTTAAGTATACATATTTTTTGTAATTACAATGGAAACTCCAAATAATTGTGTCTTGGAAGCTAACAAACCAAATGGTTCTCAAACGAGTCTAGAAAACGGAGCCAGCATGGACAGCCAAGAACAGTTTGGCAAGGAACACACCGGTGGTGGTATGGGCGATGGCTGCATAAGACGCTTCTGAGTTCTCAAACTGGGTTTCAACTGTTTGTACAATCTGGTCCCCTCCTGCGTACGCACCCTCATCCTCCCCTTCTGCTCCCCGGAATTGTCTTCTGCAGACCAAGCATGTCTCGGTGCTCGGCGACCACACCACCTATCCACTCGTGCCTTCCTCATCTCCACTCTCACGGCCCTCCGGCCATGCTGACTCACAGCGGCCCGAGAGGACAGGGTAGAACTGCCTCCGGGGGCTCCCGAGACGGTCCCTCGGGTTTCCTTTTCATCCTATGTGTCCAGTCTGCGTGCTGAGCAAATAATCTGGGAGCTGGATCACATGGAGCAAAAAACACACAGGATGGAGATTGTAGGATGTTATTAATAACCTGTGATACTTTGCTTACTAAAAGGGAAGATAATTAGCAGCACTTACTGATAAAGAACAAAGATTACAGTATATATTACACCTCAATATAACAATAAGGAAAACAACTGTAACTCTCTGTTGGAGTAGAAACCTCGCCTTTGTCCCTCAGAGAGGCCGTCGTTCCGAACTGTGGTTCTTGTGGATCCCAGTGCAGTGTGTAACCAGGACACCGCCAGGGCTCCCTCCTTCCCGCATACCACCCCCTTTCCACGCCACCAAGTCCTCACGGCCTTTCCCAAGCAGTGCAGCTCCCACTCATGCAGGGAATATGGACTGTGTGTGCGTGTGCGTCTGTGTGTGTGTGTGTGTGGAGAGAGAGAGACAGGGAGACAGCACCCTGGTGACATAGTGGCATAGGGGCGATGTGTTAGGCTGCTAACAACAAGGTCAGCCATTTGAACCTAGCAACCATTCCATGGTAATAATTTTACAGTCTTTCAAACGGAATCATAGTGACTGCAATATATTTTATGTATATATGTACTTTTGTGTATGTATAAATATGCATGTATGCAAATGTGAATGAATATATATGTATGTGTGTATAAGTATGCAAAAGTGCATATATATACATATATGGATATATGAGGGGTATCCAAAAAAACCTGATGTGATATGAGGAGAATAGTGTATTTGGAGTTTGTTCCACCAGGTCAGACTGTTAATCAAGCTTTCTATTTAGAGGTTCTGAAAAGATTGCATAACAGTGTGCAACCAAAAAATGGCCTACTTTGTAGCAGACGGGGGACTGGTTTTGCCACCATGACAATGCACCTGCTCATGCAGCCATCTCAGTGTGTCAGTTTGGGGCAAACAATAGTATGCCTCTCTTGCCCCACACACCTGACTCACCTGACCTCGCTTTGTGTGACTGCTTTTTGTTTCCACCAATGAAGAGGGACATGAAAGGCCAATGACTTGACAATGTAGAAGAGGTTAAAAAGGGAAAAGAAAAAACAAGGGAGGTGCAAACAGGTGAGTTTGAAACACGTTTCCAAGAGTAGAATCACAGATTTGACCAGTGTATTGAGTGCAATGGAGAGTACTTTGAAGGTGATAAGGTCGTTTTGTAAAAATATTTAAATACATAGCTTTGAAAAGAAATTCTGATTTTTTGGGGGGTACCCCCTGGTATGTATGTATGTGCATATCAGTATGCATATGTATTCATATGTGTGTGTGTGTGTGTGTGTGT